ATAATAATAATAATAATAATAATAATAATAATAATAATAATAATAATAATAATAATAATAACCTGTGTGGATAAAAGTGTGTTTCTTCATGTCTGACTTCTGGTGGAATCTCTTCCCGCAGTACTGGCACGGATAAGGCCGCGTGTCCGAATGGATGAGCAGGTGCGTGGAGAGCGTGGAGGAGCGCTTGAAGCTTTTGCCACAGATTTTACAGCTGAAGCTCCTCTCCTGGAAAAGATGCACCGTGTCAGTGTGGAAGGCCTTAAAAAATATAAACGATTCAGCAGCAGAAATGACTCAAAGTGAGACCGCTTTGTGTGGCTCAAATGTAGGCCTTATGCGTCTACTGCAGTTGGAGGCCTGTACCTGCGAGTGCACCGCTCTGTGCTGATCCAGGCTCACTGCGTGTCCGAAGGTTTTCCCGCAGATGCCACACTCAAACGGCCGCGTCCCGCTGTGTGACCGCCGTACATGAACCTCCAGCCCGTGAGGTGTGGAGAACACCTTTGAGGGGGGAACAAACAAACATGGATGACTCGTGTTACTTTAAAATCAAGACACAGATTTTCCACAAATGTCCTTTTCAGTAAACATTTTTATATCATGTTTAAATTTGAACTTGGGTACATGAGTCTAATAATCACAATGTTACCAAAATAAATCACCAAACAGGCAGTAAGCTTGTTGGTGACATCTCTTTTGACTTGAAGTAAAACCCCATAAACACGTACCTTGCAACATTTAATGCACTTATATGATCCACTTGACTCCAGGGTGGAGCGAATGAAATCATTTTCAGATTTGATTTCTGCAACGCGGGGCTGCTGCTTTACGTCCACATACATCCCGTCTCCGTCCCGCATTCTGCAGATCTGGTGGCCCGTTGAAGAGTAATCCTGGTAACAGCCGGGTCCGAGGCCCCGCTGTGCATAAAGCGGCTCGGTGCCTCCGTCCTCCGCCCCGTAGATGCTGACGGGTGAGTGAGCCTCTCTGTGGCCCTGCAGGTGGTGGTGATAAGGGCCCTGGACCAGATGCCTCAGCTCGGAGCCGGAGTACGTCGACCAGGAGTAAGGAAAGAGCGGGATGTTGAAGGGGCCGTCCTCTGCTGCTGGAGTGGAGCATTTCTCTGAATCTGGAAAATAATTTGGATTTCGTTTGGTGGAAGTGTGAACTGAGGAGTGAAGCCTTCAGGTAATGGACTCACTTGAAGTTGGGAAACTTGAAAATTGCGATTAACTTCTCTGGAAATGACTTAACGTGCGTAATAGTGACATTACCAAACAAACGAAACAAGTCCTCTCATTGTTCTTTCACCAAATGATTCAATCTTTATCCAAAAAGTGCAAAAGAAAAAAAAAAGAGAGAGAGAAAAGACTAAATATGGAAGTTTTTATAAGCGCATCTTCTTGATCAAACTGTCAAATATTTTGTGCTAGACATTTGGCTCTCTGTAGTAATAACCAAACCATGACCATATTTGAGACGGAACGTGTTTTAAAGTTTTGGGAACTTGTGCATCCAACATAAAACGACAGCATTCATTTATTAGCTTATAAAAAACTTTCACTGTTTAAATAACACAAACTTTTCTCTACTTTCGTCTGGGTCAAAACGTTTTGGAGCAGACCTGGGGAGGACGAGGGAGACGGGGGACGCCAGAAATCACAGTCTGAGGATCGCTCACACACGCTGCCTCCGCAGCTCAGCGGGGAACTGGAGGACAGAGACCCCGGAGACCGCAGCCTCGACCCGGGGGACAGTCTGTCAGCGGCCGCGCTCACATCTTCCTGCGGCTCCAAGTTGGATTCAAACTCCCCTTGAGATTTGTTTTCTGTTGACAGCAGAGACAAACCATGACACTGACTGTTTCAGACCGAAACAAGTTGTGGATTTGTGACTTTATTAATCATTTCCACTGAGACCTCTTGCTCTTTTTATCGAACCGCTTTCGTGCGTAATTACGCACAAACCAACTTACCTGCGCACACGTGAGCCAGGATAGTGTCCAGCCTGCTGTAGTCATCGTCCAGGTACCGGGGCTGGTGGTAGCTGTGGGCCCGTTTGCTCTTCACCAGGAAGGACCTCGGCATGTTGTCCAGCTGTCCTTCGCTCAGAGCTCGTCACGTCTGAAATCCTCAACTTCTCTGCTCTCCACGCCGCTCTGACTTTATCTCTGGACAGATTGGAACACTATTGGTTGTCACACGAGACGGCGTTGGGATTTTTGGCAGGCTATTACGCATGCGCAGAGAGGCCGTATCGTTTACCAGGTGTCGCCGGGCAGGTGGCCAAAAGCCGGACCACCGTTTCCCCCCCTCGGAGGGTCTCGGAAGAAATGAGATTGAAGAGGAGATATTATATGTCGGTGTGTCTTCTGAAAATTGTCTGATTCACGTAAGAGGAAGTGTGTGTGTGTGTGTGTGTGTGTGTGTGTGTGTGTGTNGTGTGTGTGTGTGTGTGTGTGTGTGTGTGTGTGTGTGTGTTTTGGAGTGTACAGTTGGATTTATGATTAAAAGAAGACAGCAGGTTCGGGAGAGTGACTTTTTTTTCCCACGAATCTTTTTTTAAATTATTTTAATATGATTCAGTATTTTTTTAGGGGAAAATCTCCAACAATTGCTTCTGAGGTTATATTTTATTATATTTTTTAAAGTGCTGCCAGGCTTTACTAGTATATAAGCATTTCCAGGTGAAACCCAAATGTTGCTAAACATCATAGTGGGCTCAGATAAATTAAAACTGAGATTGGATTTACGCGTAAAGCATCTTTAGATTGAGATTTATGGCACATGACAAACCCATAAAGGAACTGACAATGCTGTGGAGAAATGGCACTTTTCTAAAAGTTAAATCTATTACTGGGGTATAATGAGACATGAAACGCGTGTGTTTGTGCGGCCAGAGCCGGCTGTGATGGATAATGACCTATTTGTTTGACTGGTGGTAAAACGATCCTGTTAATGAGACGCGCGCGGCCGCTGTGCACAACAGCCTGCTGGTGGGGAGCCCGAGTATCCCTTTACAGTTACACTGCTTCAGCTTACCCGCACTGACTTCAGCCTTATTGTTTTACATCATTAAAACCCCCTCCCGACCCAACTACACAGACCCAATTAGGCTGTCCACCAAACAAAGCAAAAAGATAAAATAAAAAAGACGATTTTAGGATGCATTAAACCACATTGGTTATAAAGAAAAAAAAAGTTTTCAGCAGAAATCTGTCAGCATCAGAATGCAAATCATTGCCAAGATTTGGGGCTCAAGGTCAGACAAAAGCAAAGCGGTATCGATTTTTTGGTCCCGATGTGGGAACAGGGTTTGTTTGATGCAGCTGCGTCAGGTTGAGAGAGCTGCAAGCAGAGCGCAGATAGTGGAGGCACGAAGCTGCAGCACATGTTCCGTACTCACACCGTTCTGGTCCGCGTTCACATCTGTGTCAGAGAGCTGCAGAGAGAAACCCTCAGCTCCTCACGCTGTCACACTCTGCTCCTCTCTGTCTTCTGCTTCCCCTCCCTCACAAAATAATTTCACGTTAGTCAGCCAATGGCAGTCAAACAAAAACACTGATTCATGCTTTGATAAAAAAAAAAAGGGGCCAAACTTGTCCTTCATTTGCATCGTGCAGAAAATAAATCTTGCCTTTTCAGAATTGATTTCCCTTTGCTATTACAGGCTTGACATTTGCACTGGATGCCGGATTTGTTCAGTTTCGCTGCTGTGTTTAACCTCTGATTGGCGTTTTTTACTCCTCTCGTTTACTTCCATGATTCACTTGTTCAAAATGGGTGAAATCCAAAATCTCCACAACGTTTGTCAACAGCGGAGTTTTTAGGAGCTCTCCTCCCTCTGAGCTCTGTCACACGGTGTGGAAATGAAACACAAAACAACATTTCACACTTAAGCAGACACAAATCTTCAACTTGATTCAGAACTGCAGACTTCACACAGACAACTCGTTCCTCAGTCACACCTCAGGACAGATGCTCACAATAAGTGTTGTTTTAATCACATTATCACCATTACAGCCTGTGTGAACTTCAGCCCCTCTGAGGAGTCTCAAAGCCTGGAGACGCCGACAGAGCTGATGCGACCACACTCTAACTCCGGCTTTACGCACTGAGTCAGAACAGGAAACCAAACGCAGAGCCGAGAAGACGGTATCAGTGCTGCCACAGCCTCCTCTCCCCTCCCCTCCGCACCCCTCCTCCCCCACACGCCTTGATTCTCGCTCTTTGACTCTTTACAGCAAGTATGTGATTGAAAATAGAAGCCCAGTGATGGCAGCCAGATGAGCAGAGGAGCAGCAGAAGACAGGGGGGTTCTGGTGTCTTTGCTCAGCAGCAGTTTTCTACCTGATCAAAGGTGTGAATCAGAGTCGCACGGGGTTAAATAAAGACTTTGCTGCTGGTGAGCCATGAGGTTATTTTCTCAAGCTGAACCCTCGAAGCCCTTTTGGCCCCTGCGCGGACAGACTGGGGCTGTGGGGGGACTCCTCGGAGTTTTAAATATACTTGAGGCTGCAGCTTTCGCACCACATGTGTGTGAATGTCAACGACGAGGTGCAGAGCAGCAGTCTTGATTTTCACTCCGTGCATCTCAGTTTAAAGCAAAACTCTGGTTAAAGAGCAGCTTCTGCAGCCACATGGTGATAAAGGACCAGCCAGCAGCAGCAGCAGCAGCACAGGAGAAGACAGGCACTGACTTGTGATTTGACTGAACCAGAACGCGTTTTAATGTTATTTCTTCCTCCAGCATACATCGAGCTTCTCTCAGCCAGGGTGTGAACAAGTGAAACTGAAGCAGATTTTGTGTTTGAATATTTCAATTCCACTTTCCTTGTTGCTTAAGACTTATGAAGGGAGGGAAAAATAAACCAGAACTCTTTCTTCTTTCTTTCTCGCAGATTGGAACCAAATGAGGCTGATTGTACTTAATGTGCTCTGAAATAAGAGAACTGTTGAACCAACTGTAATTAGTTGCTTCTATAGGTAACAGACAATTGAATTATCCGAATTAAAAGTGATTTAAATTAGATTAAATTCTTTGGTTCCTCTCAAACAAGCCTCGCTGGCGCTTAATTTTAAGGAAAGTCAATTTGAAATTTCCAATTTTTTTCCATCTTAACCTCTTAAGACCTGAGCTCTTGCTTGATATTAATTTTCTATTTCTATTGACTACTTGATCAGATTAAATAGCAAAGAGAATTAAAAAATAATATAAAGAAATAAAAATCTATTTTAAAAAAATCTAT